TCAGAAAAGCAGTTGATATCTTGTCCGGGCCACTAGCCTTCTTTCCATCCAGATTTAGCAACCGAGAAAATACACCTTGATTAAACAATAAGGGTTCCATAGGACATGCGCATGAATAATGCAAGTTGCTATCATCGCGCACATCTGACGGCATCGTGAACACGGACTAAAAAAACCTGTTAAACTCGTCTGCTATCTCAGTCTTTTGCGTCACTGTTCACGATCCGGCAGTGATCTGTTCATTTTTTTCTTTTCTGCCGCTCATATAAAGCCAGAACTTCTGAGGCGCACTCTTCAGAAATTCTGCGATGGGTATGTTTCAAAAACTTACTCTTTGATTCGGACAAGGCTTCTTTGAGGGTTTTACGAGCATGAGATAATGCAGTAGTGTTCCTCCCTTTTTTCCGTAGTCTTAATTTTTCTTTTCATGTGAACTATATTCCTGGTTATCCATGGGCTGCGTAGTTTTACATTTTAAAGACGACACGGGATGAATCTCTGTACACAGGTGTCCACGATTGCATTAAATCGATTCCACAATGTCTCAACGGACTCGTATTCTGAGGCAGACTGAAATTGGTCGAAGGCGACTTCTAAAAAATCTAAAATAGAAGTGTCGTCCGCTTCTGCAATTTTTTTTACTTTTACACGCGAAACAGGCTTTGGACGATCGCTTTTCTCTGTGGCAATGTTGATAACAACTAGCTGGTGGTCTGATATGCCCGCTTTTACTGTCAACATGTAGCCATCCAACTGGCTTGTTACGAACACAAGGTCGAGCAATGACTTCGTTTCCGTGGTTATTCTAGTGGCTTCCCTAACGATTTGTGTAAGATTGTGTGAAAACAACATCTTTAATAATTTATCTCCGCTTGCAATTTTGATATTACCAGGCATCAGGGTTTCCCAGTTAATATGGGGAAGGTTAAAATCACCAGCCATTATCATCGATGTGCTATCGTTTATATTGTTGCAAAGAAAAGTATTTAGATCATCTAAAAATTCAGGCGATGTACAGGGGGGTCTATAAACGGCTCCGATTAAGTATACCAGGTTTTCGTAAATTATCTTATACCATACGGGCTCCTGTAACTTGCAATCAATTAGTGCTGCCCGAATTGATTTCACGACAGTCGCAACGCCACCCCCTCGGGAATCTCGGTCCCACCTGAACATGGTGTATCCCACGGGAACAATGCAGTCGCTTGATACAGGGCTGCTGAGCCAGGTTTCTGTTATAATTATTACGTGAGGAGACCGTGATATCAGACACTCTAGATCTGTTACTTTCTTTGCAATGCTACGAGCATTTAACAGGATGACAGTTAGCTATGATGATGACGGGCTTACACCAGGATATGAAGCTAGAGGATATGAAGCTAGAGTTTTTGGCAGATCACGTGCGTTTGACTTGCGTTGCATGCGAAGCTGCACGGCCACTTTCCCCATAGGGAGAGGGCCCGGCGTCGCGTCAAAATTCAACGCACTCACGCGCTGCAATGGGTGTGTGTGCGGTCAGGCCTTTAGCGTTTGCGCACCTGCGAGCTGCTCCCGGTGCGCAACAGCAGCGCTTTCCGCATCGCGAGGCCATGTGTTTTCAACATTTCCCTGAAGTGTCAAAAGACCTGTAGAGCCACCAATTTTTTTAACCCAAACGTGCGATTAAAGGTCACCCAGTGTCTGTATAAGAGGCGTATAAATTATCAGAGTGCAGAAATGAACGACACAGCATGCATGTACGCGATTGAAGCGACACTAAGAAGCAAAACGAACATTTCGCACATCTGTAAAGCACGATTCAGCAATCCCGAAACGTCACTCTTACCGTGACACAATGCTTGGTAGGCGAGAAAACGCACCAAAAAAAACTGTTGGTATGTAGAGACTCCACCTGGAGATGCCGGCATCGAGCACTGACGTCATAAGTTTTGAAGGCATCTACCGAGTATGCGTGTCTTCCAATCAATAAAAAAGAAGTGAGTGCGAGAAACCTAGAAATATAGGTTTCTGAAAATTTCGTCAGGCCAGTGTCGCAAAATAACGAAAAACACATTTTGTAACTTTTGACATCAGGTGCAGAGATTTCACAGCAAAGTTTAAAATTACTTCAACCTTGATTGGCTCCGTAATAACGGAGCTATAACAATTATGATAGTCAATGACGTGACATTAGACTTCTCAGAGCACTGTGTCAATCTAAACCAAGTGATTGTTCCTCTTTGGTGTCCCTATAACAACCTTGTCCGGCTGTGTTCTGCTTGTAATATTCTGGTAACCAGACAAAGGGTACCCGGAATCTGCTTATTGACTCGGTGATCGGCGCTCGCGCGTTCAAATGAGGGAAATGGGTGGCTGTAGGGGTAAATAAAGCAAAGGTCGTGTATCTAAAGCTGATACTGCATGAAGTCCCACATGAAACAAAATCGCGAACGTGTTTATCCGTCCAGTTCTTGAACAGGGCTGCCACATCAGTAAAATTCATCAGACAGTAATACCCTTGAACCAGTTCGTAAGAAAGTGATCTCCATGTACAGTACTCAGGAATTGAAACCGGGCACTTGGAGCGTGTGGCCGCCGGTACACGTGCGGTTGTTCGTGGTTGCTCATGAAACCAAGGTGGTGCATTATGGTATAGGGTGAGGGGGAGAACACCTACAGAGCATAAATACTCCTTCCGGTCGCCAAAAAGCCGGTAATTTAGTTCACAAAATGCACACTGCCAGCTCGACGCTGCGAGGCTTGCGCACATTAGCATGTAGACCAAACTGGCTCGCAGCTGCGCAAAATTTGCGGTGCCAGTAGGTGGCGCTGTCGTTTTGCGCAGTTAGGCGACGTGGTCCGCATACCGTGCAAGTATACGACGCAGGATACTGCGGAACATTTCGTCTTGCATGAGTTCATAGACACAAAAAACATCTGCACAGAAAGTTTATTTTGTGGTTTCAGCCACGACATGAAAGAAAGAGTCGCAAGCCTGCCTTCGTTCAACACAGAAGTCATGTAGTGAGTCGTGTAACGCCATGCTGGTGGTGTGCACATTGTGAACTAAATGCCGGCTCTTTAGCGATATGAAGGAGTAATCCTGATCTGTAGGTGTTGCCACCCTCACTATATACCATAATGCAATATCTTGGTTCCACGAGCATCCACGAGCGGCGGCACATGCATCGGCGGCCACATGCTCCTAGTGTCGTTTCAATCCGTGAGTACATACAGCTATAACCGTAACTTTTCCCCTTAATCTCGGCCAGGAAACGCGACCTTAAGTACTGGAATGGTTGAATGGGTATTGAGTTAGTTCAAGGGAAGTCGAGGTAACGCAATGAGTTTGCGCACTGTTATGTGCGTTCTTCCATAGTGTTACACGCGTGTGTAGCATCACTGAAAGCCAGCGTTCGCTATCATCGAGTTTTGTGCGCTTGTAACTAACGATAATGTAATCCTCGCAATAAGCCCCTTATATCTTAAAAATGCTCAAACTAGAGCTTCTCGGTAATAGAAAGAAACAGCTGGAACACGCACGACTAGAAAGACTGCACTTGATGCTGAGCGAACTTGCAAATAGATTATAACTCTGCGCATGAGTACCGCATTTTCATAAACTTGTTCGCACACATGCGTTCGGCGTCATTTCTCCCTCCTTTTTGTTACACCCCTCTCCAGGAAACATGTAGATTTATACTTGCAAAAATAAACGCAAAGGCTCTTGGTTGAGCACCAACGCCAATATATCTTGTCTCGTGTGTTTGCGCTGATTCTCGAAATATGCAATTTACTTTGCACACTTGCCAAGGCATTACTGTCAATATTAGTATTTTGTCTTCGGCTCGAGCTGTACATTAACGATCTTGCAAGAGCGCTGAAAGGGACGATAATCAGCGGCGTGTCACAGAATGGACACTTCTGCGGAAATACGCCTTCTGCGCTGTATCAGTCAGCCAAGCGTAGCCGCCTGTATACGCTTGTCAACTTATCTATCTTGAAACCGCCTACTGTAATCCTAAATGCCGCGTGGAACGACAATCAAACGCAACAGAGAGGAAGTGGGTGGTACTCCTAGAAATCTAGATAGCACTGGCTAACTCTTGATTCCACTAAGAGCCGACTATCGGCAGGGCTATACGTGGACGACAGCAGAGTTTTATACTAGGATTGTGCGCAGACAGAAATCCAATGCGTATTTTCTCAAAGTTAACAGCAGCAGACCGTGACCCTGTGCTGACCAACACGTCGACGACAATACCCAGAAATTATTGAAGGCATGGAGAGGATGTACTTAGGAAAACAAATATTCACCACAGGAAAACTTGTGTACAGCGTGGACACTGCCCAGCCGAGCAAAGACGGGAAACACGCCCAATTTCCAGAAATTCAAGCCCAATTTCCAGAAATTCCGGGACAGTGTCTGTGACCACTGACAACAAACACTGTGCCCTAATTTATAAGCACATGAAGCGCAGACATTGTTCTCCATCGCAGTGTACGGGCCCGCAGCCCTCAAAAACCGAATGTGGAAGACTATAAGCCCACAGGCAGTAGCACATTATATAAAAGCCAAATAGACGAAATGTAAAGATGCGAAATAGCGTGATTTTTTATACACTAACTCGTAGTGACAGAAAGGAAATTCGTCCCGAGCGGCCTTCGCTTGCTCAATACGAATACACTCTTGAGCAGAAGACGTGTGTTATGGACAGTGTTCATCAGGCACCGTAGAACTGATGTGTTGTGTCAGTGCGCTTTCAATAAAACTTCAGGGCGAAACCATCACTTCAAGGTAGGTTTTCTGTAGATCACCTGCGGGATAGTCAAAAAGTTCTTCTCACGCCAAATGTTTCACCATAGACCTACCAGGACATTACTTGTCTAACAGCGGCCAGTAAACATTCATGCCGTTCATTCTCACGCCTTCGCACTTTTCGCAGTCTTTCAGCTTAGCGAGGTGGTTCTGAAACGCCCACAATGTACTAATTTGAGGTTAGAAAAATGAGCAGACTTACCTTGTTGCTTCTGCAGCTTTTGCGTGTCTCCGGTGCACCGCCCCGACCAGCCGACTGGAACCCGACGCGCCTTCTAGTAACTCTACAGTGACTAGATTGGCGCAAGCGCTGATTTTTGTGGGATCCTGATGAGAGGAGGAACCAGTGACAGCAGCGCACTCTTGGGGGTGTTCTATTGCCTCTTTATTTTTCAAATAATTTTTTCTGTTTAGCTATCAGCTGACGAAGCTAACAGAAACTAGGCACGTGTTTGCAGAAGTACAGACATTTCGAACCTGAAGTATATGGCGCATCAATCAAACATTCGTGACGTTGAAACATCTGGCAGAACCGCTGGCTTACCTCACAGTACGCGTTGCAAGTTATCAAACTTTATTATCAACAAGCATTGGTTTCGTTGCTCTCGATGTGACCGCCATAAATTCATTATAATTATAACCATAATTTCAACAATGTGTCATCACATTTTCACACATTGCACAGTGAAGGGCACATGACCACCAAACTTAGGCCACAGCAAGGGGAAAAAAAAAAAAGCGTCGGCTCTCACGTAGTTTACTATAGCGATCTAAATAGTAGCTTTAGCCTTATGCTCTGGTCTAAAAGAATGCGTATTCTCTCAAATTTTACAGCTGCGGGCCGTCATGCTGACGACGATCCCCGGAGGTTATCGAAGGCATGAAGAGCTTCCTGGATACAGGCAGCGTCCTGACAACCCAATGGGTCATGATGCCACGATACGTGCGCCTTCTGCAAACTCAAACAAAAAAGCTTTGAATCAAATATGTATCAATTAATAGATACAGTAATTATGTATAATGAAATAGGTAGTCAATTAACAAACGCGATACTTCACCGTCAATGTCAACGCAAGGGCTGCGAAAGCAATTCTTATCGCGCGATGACGTCACCAACAGCAAACAATTGTGCAGTCATCATGCAGGCACAATGACATAAGGTAATGGTGTCATTGCATGATGTCATTTGGTCACCAGTTGGCCTATCACATTGGTAAACGGTTGGCCGATCACGGAGGCCATGCAAACTAACGTTACTGTGCACGAAGCCTTCGCTGGTTGACCAATCATTATCAGTGTATTGATGGAGAGGAAAAAAAAGAGGAGAGTCTTTCCTTCGAGTCGTCCAAGGAGAATGTTCAAAGGGCCTCAGGTTTCACTAGGTTGTCGGGTTTTTACTGCGCCCTGGATCGTGCCTTCGCGGTGTTTATATGTACACCTGCAATGCGGCCGCGTTGAAGCAGCGATTATGGTGCTTGGCTGCTAACCAGATCAGTGGGTTCAGTCCCAGCCGCGATTGTCACATTTCGATGGATTCTCGGGGCCCAGTGTGCTCAAATTTTAGGGGCACGTTAAAAACATCGGATTGTCAAATTTTCCGGAGTCCCTCCACTGTAGTCCTCTCTTATAGTCGTGTCTTGGTTTGGAGACGCAAACCCCGGATGTTATTATTGATTGTGATACTTAAAAAATATGTCTTAAAGCAATTCATAAAATAAAAGGATTGAAACAGCTTTCCTTGAACCAGCAGCCGAACGACTTAAACACTATATAGATTCAAGCAGCTCATGCATGAGGCAACGAAGATAACTGATTCAACAGCTTATTTCACTGAAGAAGACAACCCTTGGTCAGAGAGAACAAGGTTCATCAAACGCCGAGACCGAGTAGCGGAAGAGGCAACTGGCCATGCAATAGACTGGGTCAAGCAGGATAAAGATAACAAAAAGATAACTGGACTTCTTGCATCTTTCATGCATCTGTGACAATGCAGGCCGCTTCGCACACACCCCGATGAAGATAACTCCCCACATGTGTACGCATGTTACCTACGTCATATATTAAATCAAGCATTACTGAGAATATTTACTGAGCTATATATTCACTGCGAAAAAGACTCCCTTGTTGCTGCCGAAATGCCCTAGATTTTAAGCACTTTCGTGATCGCTGCCTATGTTTTACTGTTCTAAGCTATTTCTTCGGACCACACAGGTTTCCCTCCGATTCTTCACTAAGTTTGATTTCATGATAATGATGAATGCAGATAGCTTCCAAATAGCCGACTGAGTGAAAACTTGATCGAAAATGTCTGGCGGTATTCAGCAGGGTGGGGCTGCAGGCAGCGTGGCCAATAGGACTGCATCGAGTCCTTGGACAAAGGTTGCTTCCTGGGCGTGCCGGCAGGCCCACAGTTAATCGCCGAGGTTGTCTCTGAGCACAGCTGCTTCCCATACCTCCTCGCAGTTCGAGAATGCCATGTCTGGACGTGGTCTGGAAGAAGCGCAAATTTTAAATGCTCTAGTATTCTATCGATTAGTGGCAAAACCAGGCATACATTCGCCCCTCGATCAAGTAAGAGAAATTGGCATGTAAAAAAATTGGCAGATCCCACGTGCAGGAATCGACAATATGCGAAGCACGAATGAGAAATGGTGATATGTTAGTTTAAAATCAGCAGAACGTTGCGAGGTGGAGGTAAATGATGCCGTACATGACATCCGTGTCATGATTATCATGTTTAGATGTGTCGTTTACCTTCGTCATCTATTCTCGTCACGTGATACCAAATTTAGTATATGCGAAGCTAGTGACACGGCCACGAGCACGCTATGAGCGTGGTACAATGTCATTTTCTTACATGACAGGCGTGTCAGGATTATTATGTTTGAACCAGTCATCTATTTCGTCATCCATTGACGTCCCGTAACACCAAGTTTGGTACATGCAGAGCTAACAAAACGACCCAATGTATACTCCAATTTACCATTAACGTGCGCGCACGCTAGGCACAGCGACGCTACGTTAGCAAAACGTGAGCACTCTATAGTCTGACGCCAGGCGCGACCAGCATTCGTCGGTGTGACCCGACGGCAACTGGCGCGAAATGCGACATGCTGCGTTTCGCGCCGATCCGTTACCCAGACAACACTGCGTCTCCCTCTTTTCGTGATGGAAGGACGCTGGACGCGCAGAAACGCGCATGCGTCAAAGCAACGCAGCGCGGTGCGCGTCCTTGAGTATAAGGCAGGACCGGCAGCTGACGTGACGCGACGAAATGAATGCCAGCGAGCACGCGCACCACGTAACGTCGAAATGTATTGGCGCCTAGACTGTGGCATGTAGTCATGTTCTCACATGATACGCATCTCATGAATATCATGTTTGCACCAGTCACATACATTCTTCATTCATTGGCGTCACGTTTGGTATATGTGAAGCTAGCGAAACGGCCGCGAGCGCGTCATGAGCATGGCATGTAGTCATGTTGTTACATAACACACATGTCGTGGTTATCGTGTTTGAATGTGTCAATTACCTATGTCGTCCGTTCGCGTCACGTAATACCGAGTTTGGTACATGTGAAGCTAGCGAAACGGCCGTGAGCACATAATGAACGTAGCATGCAGTCATGTTGTTACATGACACGCATTTGATGTTTATTATGTTTGCATACGTACCGTACCTTCGTCATCCATTCACGTCCCGTAATACCAAATTTGGTATAGGTGAAGCTAGCGAAACGGCTGCTGGCGCATCATGTGCGTGGCATGTAGTCATGTTGTTACATGACACGCAACTTATGATTATTATGTTTGTACCAGTCAGATACCTTAGCCATCCATTCACATACCGTAATACCAAATTTGGTATATGTGACGCTAGCAAAACGGCCGCGAGCGCATCATGAGCGTGCCATGTAGTCATGTTGTCACATGAAACGTATGTCATGATTTTCATGGCAGGGTCGGTCCCTTGTGTTCACCATGCAATCATGTCATACCATACCAGTTTTGCAACATGCCATGCGAACGAAACCACCGCAAGAGCTGCAGGACTATGACATGTAAATCATGACATTCATGACTTACACGTCATAATTTTCATGTTGTGACTAGTCTAATATGTCCTTCATACACTCATTTTATGCCATACCAAGTTTGGTATCGATACCATTATCGAAACGGCCAGGAGAGCTCAAAGTCGTAGGCAGATAGATAGATAGATAGATAGATAGATAGATAGATAGATAGATAGATAGATAGATAGATAGATAGATAGATAGATAGATAGATAGATAGATAGATAGATAGATAGATAGATAGATAGATAGATAGATAGATAGATAGATAGATAGATAGATAGATAGATAGATAGATAGATAGATAGATAGATAGATACGCTCAAAGCCGCCGAAGTTTGCCAAGAAATGCTTCTGATTTAAAAGTGTGTACAACCATGACTAACATTTCTAAGCAGCGCTTGAATCACGGAGGAAGGAAAAGGTAAGGAGAGGCCCTGACGTCACTCGTTGTGAAGCCGCGATGAAGCCGGAAGTTGGCCATATTGAGTAGGCAAATTCTCCTCTCTTGTTTACATATGAATGCGAAGCAGAAGGCGCGACTCCCTCTCCGGCTCGGAAAGCACGTGGGCTGCGCAGCGCGTGTGTCGTGACGATTCGAAACTAATGGAAGTGGGCTCATCACTCAGAGCCAGCGGGACACCTTCAGCGAAATCGCTTCGTCCGAGTAATAACAAAGAGTAACAGCTCGCTGACAACGAAGCAACTACGAAAGAACGCGCGCTAGATGCACTGACAACGGCGAGTGCTTTCACGTCATTAATTCAGCAACTGTACAGACAACACGATCGGTCGTGCGCCTTCTACGGTTGCATTCCGCCACGCGACTGACGCAGCGTCCTGCCACTGTGTCCGTGTTCCGCGTGAAACTCACCTGCGTCAGCATTCTGCGACCGTGGTGACTTTGAGCACGGTGCTAGTGACAGTTGAACGTGGTTGCTGTTACGTTGACATTACATGCAATGCTGGTGGAGAGTGTACCAAGCGAAACAGAAAAGGTGTTTTAATACGCACATGCAAGTTGTTACTGTACACACACAACACAAAACTACGTATGTGCACATGGTCCTCACGGCGTTTTGCTGGGCTCAACAGCGTCGTCCGTTGTCACAAGCAGGAGCACTGCTCAACCGTCACTGACCTGCAAGGCGTTCGTCGTCATTCAGCTTCGTCATGGTGCCCAACGCCATTTCGCTGAACACTAACTGCTTCATCCGCGTCATCCGCCGCACGACACATGGATATGCACTTGTTCTACGCACTGTTGAA